TGGACACTCACTTTTTTGACAATTTTTAGCCATAATGTTGTTTTTCCCCTCGTTATTATTATTCCTATTAAAATTTAACATTTAAGTAAAGCAAGACAAATATATCAATTGGAGAATTTCTCAGATATGAAATTTCAGTCAATTGGATGTTGTTATAAATTATTATAACTTAATCCATTAAATGTAATTGACTTATATTAGGAATATGTTTTGCAATATTCAATTTTTCTTTGAAATGTTAAATAACTGCAGTGTCGTACTACGTATTCCAATAAAAGAACAAAAAGAAAAAATAACAATTAAGTTACGATGGGAAAAAATAACCAACCAACTTGAAAGCAATTGCGCATAAATACAAAAAAAATAACATAAGACTTGGGGTATGCGCTTTAGATACTTTAGTTCTATAGGAATAACATTGACACAAATCGTTTCATTAGTTCCATGGCTGGCACCAACCGAAACGTAACAATTCAGCATTATGGTACATGTATACCGCGATACCGGTTGTGAGACCTGTTTTTACCATTACATGCGCCCTCTGGTGTTGAAATGTAAAAACTATACGTTTTGTTTTTATCATGATCTTTACTTGAATAGATGAATAAGAATAATAGAGACAATATCTATATGCTATTCTGGGATGTAACAAGGCACTTCCAGGACCTGCTGGGTCCTCTTTTCACCCAGCCAAAATGGAAAAATGAATAGTACGATGACCACCGCTATCTAACTGTGGCGTTGAGTGGTTAGTACTCGAAGCCGGACACTAGCACAGATATGGATATATCACCAGATTTGAGTTCCATTTGGCGCATTGTCAAAGCGTCCAAATTGTGGATTGGGTATTCCCATGTAATAATCACAGCCACATAATGGTTGACATCATCAAAATAGCCCCCCGGTCGGACAACTGTGACTGGGCCAGTCCCCGTCCAATAGCCTTGATTTTGGTGTAATTCCTTAGTATCGTTTTGAAACAATTAACTGGTAGTAAATAAATACTGAATAACAAATTATGTGGTAATTTTCACCCATCTGCGGTATTTCTATCCTACGTCACTATTAGAAAGTGTTGTACTATAATTATTTTAATCAGCGTGCTTTGATGCATAATGTCGTGTGCATCGTCCAGTTTTTACTTGAAAATATGGCCTATATTTTTTTTAAAGATTGAACTTATTTATGATTACAGGGTTTATAATATATAAATACTTATTTTGGTGTAGCCTGTTTCCGTACGTCTTCGCCTGTAATCATTACGCCAGGCGCGTGGAATTTGCATAATAATAAATAGGTTGAGGTCACTTTCTGATTTGACCATATGACGTCAGATATGCAAATTTCACCCGTACAGTGCAGGATTCTCTTGCATGCTTCCTTGCTGTCTCTGGTTCGGTTGATCAACTGCTGTTTTTGAGAGTCTTTTTGGATTTCCCGGGTATTTTCTGGATTACGCTAAAGCCATGTCGAAACCACTGTCCGATATACTCGGGAATAGACTGATTAACCGGGCGAACGAGACCGTGGACCCGACTTCGTTGGCGGGGGTTGGCAAGCTGATCGGACTGTATTTCTCCGCTCATTGGTGTCCGCCTTGTCGAGGTTTCACTCCGAAACTCGTTGAGTTCTACAATAATTTTAAGAAATCGGAGAACGGCGATAAGCTGGAGATTATATTTGTGAGTTCGGACAGAGATTCGGCGTCGTTTGAGGAGTATTATGGGGAGATGCCATGGCTAGCTTTGCCTTTTGACGAAAGGCAACGTAAGGTAATGTACTAGCTGCGTTATTATACTTGTAAATATCGATGTGTGTGCTGCCTGGATACACGTTGTTACTGTGTGCAGTTCTTCCAATTTAACTAGCTACCACCAAGAATTAATAATGCTTGGCTTGTTAGTGAAGCATTTCATGACAAGTCAATCGTTAACATTATGATTAATTCCGAATCAATAAAATAAAATCCGATCGGCAATCGTATACCAGAAAAGAAACGACACGCCTTCTTTCCAGTGTGTGTAATAAATTCGTCAAGGATTTCGTTTTGTTTCTTTTTTTGTGTGTGTAGACGTAGATAGTATCAACTGAGATAATATTAAATATCGGCGTTGTACCTCTGTGCCATGCCTTCGAGGCGAATTTCTGATAACAGCCGAACTGGATACGGGAACCTGCTGTTTTATTTAAGTATGGTGGTCATAGCAGACAAGTTTTTTTTCCACGCCTTTGGGCAAGATTTGTATTTATAGATGATATGTAGCATGAAAAGTGTCGTTGGCAAACTCGTTTGGCTGGCCACATATCTCACTAGTATTAGGCTCCTGTTTCTACAGATATCTTTTATAATGTATCAATTTGTCCCGTAGCGCCTTTCTCGGATTTCTTCACCGTCGATCTTGCGGTGATACATTTGCCAACGTCTTCCGTAATCCGTCTATATCCTATTTTGGGTTGTTGGCAGTAAGAACAATGGAGGAAAACCAAAGTGTTATTGTCCCTGAGTAGTACGCACAAAACATTTCCTGGGGCCAGTTTTCATGCCAGCGTTTTTTGTTTGTTTTTTTTGTTCACTTGCGTTTAAAAAATTGGAAATATTTAAATTAAGTGTTGCACTTTTAGTAAAATGTCGTGTGTATAGCAGGACTATGAACATATCAATGTTTACGGGGGGGACGGGGGGGGGGACTGAAGATGTGCCAAATAGTGAAGGATGTGATGAAGCCCTACTGTCAATGTATTAGTTGGAGCTGTCAAATTACCTACATAAAGGAATTTCATGGCATTTAAAATCCCCCAGTGTGAGGTTAGTTTTTGTCCCCTTCCCTAGGTGGTGGACGTTGATTATTACTGCAGCAAAGTGACCCCAAATAAACCACTCCTGCAGCCAGACATACCATGAGATATCGGACAATTCACAAATACATCCTCGATGAGCCACAGGCGAGTGCATATGTGGAGTGAATTTGGCAACCTCGAGTGGTGTACCTAACACCAGCGGTGGTTTAAATATTGCTATTATATTATGCCAACTTTATTTAAAATATGATTCTGAGACTTGGAAATAACAAAACAAATGTAATACAGCATGTGGAATGTTCAAGTTGAAACAACGGGCCCTGGAACTAGCATACAGATAGTGATTAGAGATTGAGCAGTGTTGCACATTTGATTTAGTTTGTTGTTAGCACGAACATTGATAAATGTAAAATCGTCTCAACCGACATAATATTTACAAAAAACTGCACTTTAGTGCTAAATCCCTGAGTATGGTTTGGATGAGGAGACCCACTACAGTGACCTACTATGGTATATGATCTGAACGACGTTTTCAGGCAGTTAAAATGGTGGTCTAATATAATAATTAATATTATATATACTTTTCCCATAATTGATGAATACATCATTTAGAGTTATTTAACTGACTTGCTTCTATTCGGCAATATTATATTTACTCCAGGGATTTTAATCAGGTCTGGCTTTGAAAGTCGTAAACACAGATGTATTGAGAAAGAATTGCATGATTAATTTTTGTTTCTCATGATTGAATAGTTTGACTACCACTTTATGTCATGATTTTATCTGTCTAGCAAGTCTAGACTTCTTTTTTGTTTTTCTAAAAATATATATTTTTGTCTTATTACGGTGAATCAAATTTCTTTTGTTGGTGATTTTGCTAGATTTCGTCGTCATGCTAAAATAACTACAAATATATTTTTAAGACATTAAACAAAAAGTCAAAAATTATGAAAAGAAGACAATCTTCATAAAATGGCAGATGTTGTTGTGTCATTAAAACAGTAGTCTGGTTAAAAAAAAAAATGTGTTGCAGTCTCTCTCTGAAAATGTCTGCACCCACACAGGCATTCTATATTTTAATGGAATAGCAAGTGATATTTGCAAAGTCTAAGAAATGTGAATAAGGGTTGATTAGAAGCAAATAAATCCTTACATTTTTTTGTTTCAAAATTGTAATTGGGACTTTTTTTATTCAGTGCAAAATATTTTGTTGGAGAGAAACTGTTGAAAATCACACAAGAATGACATTATTGTTATGTTAAAGTATTATTTCAAATTTTTTAATAATTTTTGCGAAATTTAGATAATCCAGTGAGTGATAATCCAAAATGGCTTCAATAACTTGCTTGCATTTAAATTTGCAAACTACCTCAAAAGTTCCGTCTTTCTTGCTTAAAATAAATTTAAAGTAAACAAGAAAATGCACATATTGAGTACGTGAAAGAATGTGTGATGTGTCAATCACATTGTCCATCCAGCAATAATATGAAATTGACATTATGACCTCGAACGCATACTGTCAGTTATTTGTCAACACTGTAACTAACCGATTTGCTGTGAGTTTCAGAAAGTTTTGGATTTTCAACTGATGGAATTTCAACACATGAATGTTATTATTAATCAACTGAAATTGACAAATTCTTTGTCTTGAAAATTAAAATGTGTTTCCAATCACGTATTTACATCCCCTGACTGTCAGCTCTCCACAGCAAATACATGTAATATCAATTTCGAAAATTGTGCCATATTAAGCAAAAAAAATATTTAGGCCTAATTCTGAGATGTCATGAAAAATGGTGTGGTTGTACATCTTTTTTTTCCTTATTTTCCTTTTTTTTTCCTTTTTAAACAGTATTTTGTCAGAAACCAGAAATAAAAAAGTATTGAGTGGCTCCTTTTGGGCTGATGCGCATAAAGGTCAAAGAATGAGATTTGATAATTACTGCATGTCCACATTTATTAATATTCCAGTACTGTAGATACTTCGTTTTCAGTGAAAAACTGCTTTAAGAAAATGTGTGGAATTAATGTTCTGAAGATATGAAGTAATAGTAACTCAACTGTGCATCAAATTGTCACAAATGTATTTAACTGTCTAATCAGAGACAATACATGTCATGTGGTGATTCACGAATTGTGCTTTTCAGTGAAATTTATTTTTTGCATTAAAATATATATTTAATTAAAATTTGATAAACAAAATGGGGCATCAAATATGAAATGTTATTATTTTAAATCTTATATAGTTACTTGTTCATAAAAAATAATTTTAATAGTTTAAACTATTTTCATTTGTTTACATATTTTGTTTATTAAATTAAATAAGTAAAAGACTGTAAAACAATTGTTTTAATATTTAATACTAAGCTGGCATACAACAATGCAACACAAGTTTTTTCTCTCTGGTCCTTCAGGCATTGGGGATATAATGCTTAAATTGTATAGAAATATACAAATAAATTACCAAGACAAATTAATCAATTAGTGACCAATTAGCAAACTTTAAAATGAAAATTAGCCATGCTGATTGAGTTGTTTTTTTTTTTGGGGGGGGGGCAATATTTTCTTTTTCTTCTACTCTCTTATTGGATGTAGTTATTGTTAATAAATTACCAACAAATTAAATTTATAAACTTGTGAATGAATTTTGTCTTGTGAATTTGAAAATTATAGTGCATTAAACCCATATCATGCATTGTGTTTGTTGGAAATGCCTGACATGCCGCACGGAAATAAATTTAGTGTGAAGTACCTGTACCAGCCTCAAGACTTTAGGTTCCTTTTTCTAAGCTTAAAAACTGGTGAAGCGCGTCTGCTCATAGTTTACATGCCTTTAGGGTTAGTAATTAGCGATGACCCGAATTATGCTAAGAGCGTTGATAACCAAGGAGTTGATGTGGAGGCCAACTAGAATGTACCATGTGATGATATCCAGACACAATGAAATGATTTAATGTATATTTTAAAATGTATTACCAAGTCTTGCTTTTGTTCCATTGTGTGTGTTTCTTCAAATGCTGTCTGTGGTACTGGTAGAATAAAACCACAAATCAGCACTTTTTTGGCTTGCACCGAGTTGTAACATAAATATTATTGCTTTGTTCATTTGTGACAGATTAGGTATCCACTTTGACACTATGGTAATGTCATTTTCACTTCTGTTAATAATTATCCTGATTAGTGGCAATCCTGTTGTACTGGTCTATTATGGGGCATTGACCTTGAGCAATGGGGTGTATTCCTTTGGGACTTAATGCTGTCAACCTTGCCAATGGGCTTTAACAAATGAAGACATCACTGTTTGGAACCCTGGGGTAAATGAATAGTACATACCTGAATGACAAGGTCGCATGTTTTTTTTTTTTATGAGGAACTTGTTTGTTTTTTAGCAAGTATAAGCACAGTTCTATTTTGATCAATTAGGGCTGATTGTGAATAATTGTGTTCAACTCATTTTCATACATTTGTTCCACATGTGTGGTCATTCCCTGTATGTAAATATAGCAATGCAAATTCTGCCTTCGTTGAAAAAGCACCCAGTTGTTGTGAATCTGTGTCACCCTAGAAACGTTTTTTTATTCTTTATTCAGATTGACACTCAGTGGACACATGTCGGCCGCACGTCACCACTCCAAACTTCGACTCTAATTCATCAATTTCAATTTGTCCGTATCTCACTTGTAATATAAATGCACCAGATCGTTGTTTCTCTCTTTTATAGAACGCTGGCGGGCACAATGTGCAAAGAGGCGCCCGTTCACTCTTGGGCCTCCCGGTGGCTTTGTATTTGTGAACAAATCAATCAGACAATGAGATGGAGATTGGTGTTGATGGTTTAACGGTGCTGTCTAAGCAGCTGCTCCGATCTTATTCACTGTAGAAATTACATACAGAGTTAGGGTTGGGATTTTCCGCCAGTTGAGTTTACATAATACATTTGTGCACATCAAAGTTGATGTTATGGATGGGATTT